AGACTCCACTAGAGCGCGCGGTCTGGTGGACAGAGTACACCATACGTCACTCTGGAGCACGTCACTTGCGAACACCTGCAGCGAACATCTCTTTGGCAGAATACTATGAGTTAGAATTAGTAATAACTGTGTTATTTGTTGTAGGACTAGCACTAGGCGTAGTTATAGGAGTGCTAAGGTATACTTATGTGAAGTTATTCAGAGTTACGTTTAAAGTAAAGAAGAACTGATGTGTGTAATTGCTTTGATTTTTACAACAATTTCTTTCTTCATTACTTAAAAGTTAAAAACTTCTTCATTTTCATCATTCAAAGATTATTTTATTCACCGAGACTAGATAATACATAAAGATGTTTTAAATAAATACAGTGTGATACAAAATTGATTTTTCATTTAAGTTTTGATCATCACTTTCCATCAGGTGAGATGCAGATCAAGAGCTTCCTTGTTTGTGAGAAAGAAATCATTTACGTGAGTTAAGTCATTATGTTATCAACTAAACCTCAGGCCTCAACTCCAGTACCTTGCTGCCCCATCGGCCGTCAGTTCTGCGTACTATGTGCCCTGCCCATTGCCACTTCAGCTTGCTAATCCGTCGGGCTGTCAGCGACTTTAGTTCGTTTACGGATCGGGTTAAAATGTGCTCCTTAAAATTAATGCCAGAAAATTTCACTCAATGGAAATACTTAACATACACATTAACGACAAAATTATGTAGTTTTAAATTACAACCTTTTATCTTTTCGAATTCAGTTGAAGTTTGAATGCCATCGCTGCTTAAAACTGTCAGTGCAATTACAATACAGTAGGGTAANCTTTTAAAATTAACAGACTCTAAAATTTCTGCAATAAAGTCCAAATTTCTGACACAATTTGGGGAAGACTGTGCACCGCGTCCTTCGTTATTAGCTTCCATTAAGTTGAAACTGCACTTAGTAGCAGGGATGTTATGGATATCCGTAACCGTAACCGAAACCATCGGATATTAGAAATAAAAAAAATATCCGTATCCGAAACGATTCAAAAGTTTCGGATAAAGGTGGAGTTTAAATCTTATTATTTTTTAATATTTGTAATTTGTCTGTCATTCCCTAACCAAACCTGACCTATTTTATCTTTATCATAGAGTGTCGTCATAGTGCACAAAGTGGCTATGTGGATCACGCAGCATCTTTCTATTTGAATTTTACATTTTTTAAATTCTAATATCCGTAACCGAAATTATTTGAAACTTTCGGACAATCCGAAATGATTTCATATCCATAACCGTAACCGAAACCGGTATAATATTATTCTAATATCCGTAACCGTATTCATAACCGAAACTTCATATCCTTAACATCCCTTCTTAGTAGCTTCAGCTGTACGTTGAATGTTCAAGCCGCAAGTATTTGAGGTTGCCATGCTTGAAAATTAGTTCATTAATGTAATTTTGTATAATGACTAAGACGTTGCAACAGGGCGGGGAATCCTGGAGCTTAATTCCTCACGTCACGGAGTTCTGTTTCATTTTCTGTTTACTCCTAATGTCGTTACGTTTTCTGTGATACAGGGGCAAATAATAAATAATGGAAATCTATACTAATATGTAGATACTAACTAGCGGCAGCCCGCGACTTCGTACGCGGGGATCGCGTTTTACCCCCTTAGGGGTGGAGTTTCGTAAAATCCTTTCTTAGCGGATGCCTACGTCATAACATCTACTTGCATGCCTAATTTCAGCCTGATCCGTCCAGTGGTTTGGCCTGTGCGTTGATAGATCACTATGTCAGTCAGTCAGTCACCTTACTTATATATATTTAGATGGATCAATACTAATAATTTGTTTGTTTGAAAGGAATAGACTCCGAAAGTACTTTAAAAAGAAATAATTTAAAATAAAATAAACACTAGAGGGGCTTTGTCATAGGTACAACAACAAAATTTTCGTACGGAACCATTCGGGCACGAGTTCGACTCGCGCTTGGCCGGTTGCTGCTACTGTTTTTCCTCGCGTCTAATGACGTAATTATTATTATTACACAATTCAAAAACTATTATTTACCAGCTGTTTGTTATGAATTTTGAACGCTTTTTAAGGTACATAGGTAGTAATTATCATCGTGGCATGACAAACTGCCTGGCTTTGTTTCGTGTACTGGAATTCCACACTAACTTTTGTTGATTCATATCATTATTATAATGTACCTTTTATTTGTCGCCTTTTTTTGAAGAAGAGCCGAAAGACGTAGCGTGGGCAGGCCTCCCACTAGGTGGACCGACGATCTGGCGAAGGTCGCGGGAGGTGCCTGGATGCAAGCGGCGCAGGATCGGTCTTCGTGGAAATCCTTGGGGGAGGCCTTTGTCCAGCAGTGGACGTCTTTCGGCTGAAACGAACGAACGAACGAACCTTTTATTTATATTGTTTCGTTAACTCACAAACTGCTTAGAAACCTTCTTAAAAGTAATTTGTTCGATACCAAATTTCGAAAATGTATGACACTTACAAGTGCGTTCAGCCTCATTGTATATTCTCGCTTTGATAAATTAAACTCTCATGAACTATTTAATGATTGATTCCTCACACTTGAAAGTCTTTACGCAGTCTGCGGGAACTTTGAATTAGTCAATTTAAAAACTGCAGCAATGGTGAAACTGTTACAGTTATTAATTTTTATTCGTTTCAGCCAAATGACGTCCACAGCTGGACAAAGGCCTCCCACAAGGTTTCCACAATGAAAGGTTCTGCGCTGCCCGCACCCAGGCTCTTCCCGCGACCTTTACCAGATCGTCGGTCCACCTAGTAGGAGGTCTGGCCTGTCTTCCAACCCGTGGTCATTAATTTTTATACCTACAACTAAACATCCTTCAGAGGAATCAGTAAAAAAATATGAATCATTTAAACTCGTTGATTCACACTAAAAATCTCTAAATACATTCAAACAGTAAGAAGTATGAAATAAAACCCTCATATCAATTCATCTTCTCTTTACTTTTCCAAACCTTTCTACAACATCTCACTGAAAACACAAGTCCAGCTACTACAGCCAATAATGCTGCCAATCCATAAACACATAAGTATAGTTCATAATATTCAACAAAAGAAGGATATGCGCCGGCCGCGCGCAAGTGGCGTGCGCCGGAGTGTCGGATCACGTATTCTGTCCACCACACCGCGCGCTCTAGTGGAGTCTGGGGCTGATCTTGCATGAGGGTACGTAGACGAACGATATTTCTGCGGTAACTGAAAAAGGGAAACAATTGAACATTAGGCTGGGTTGCATCATCTTACTTTAACTTTGACAAACGTCAAAAATCTGTCAAAATCCATACAAAAAGCACCATCGTTATAGTTTCGGTAAAATTTAGGTGGTGCAACTCAGCCTTAGTATTTTAAAAGAAGAACACAAACGCCCGTATACACAAACATTACTATGAGGTCTAACAGTGCGCGTGGACGCACAGAGTCACACACGAACCAATCACAGCGCTCTATTGAATGTTGTGTGTTCGATTTGCTGCAATCATCGTTTTTGAATACGGGCGTAAGGGTCTCAATGTTGAGTACACACGATAATGATTGCAGGAAGGTGCGGATCGGCTAATCTATATGTATAATCTAAGAATCTAGTTTCAGACTTAATAAATCATGCCTTCCAATCCAAGGCATATTTTTTAGACAATGAAGTTGACTTACGCCTAGAAGTGATAATACCGTGTATTAAATAAAGTCGATTTTTCTTGTTCCTTAAAAAGTGACAAAGTTTAAAAAATTATAGGATCAGGTTTATATTGAAACAATTAAAGTACCTAAACTAACAAAGCTGCAAAGATCAAGTACACAAATACAAATATTAATCTCAAAATTTTGCAGACAGCTTAGTGAGCATTAAGTTATTTGCCTTCACAAAGAGGTTAATATTTCATAATCCTATTGCTTTCAGCTTAATAGTCTTAAATACATTGTTGATAATATTATTGTTACGGTCAAAGTGATAAATGTGAAAATTATGAATAATCGCCGGTTATTATGTATAATTACCGCATGATTTGGTAAATGTGATTAATTTGAGGTCATTTATGTGTGTATAAAACTAAATAGGCGGCTTAGGGGTGGCCCATGGGCCACCCCCGCTGCACCTTTACCTATTTTTCACTTTAAATCAAAACATTATATTATAGGCATCATGGAAAAGTAATATTATGCAAGAAACATTCCAAACTCATTATGCCAAATTATATTAATATATGATATCAAAACGTTCAAAAGTTTGGCTGTACACGAGCACGTACACTAGATGTTGTTCTCTTTTATGAAATTTGTTTGTACATACTAAGGTTGAATTATTAAATAATCACTGTTAAATGTGATTAATTTATCACTTTTACCGCGACTGTCGGTAATTATTCATAATAACCGGTTATTATTAATAATTTTCAATTTATCACATTAACCGTAACATTATTATCATCAAAATTAAAGGTCTAGCGGTTAACTCCGTCAGTAGCTGAGGTAAGAGAGCTGCACAGGAGGGTGTTTTTGAGACTTCAAACGTTAGCGAAATTCCGATCGACCAGCAGATCAAGCGCCGCGAGTGGAACTTGATAGGCCACACTCTCCGAAGGGACCCCGATCACATCCCTAAGCAGGCTCTGGATTGGAATCCCCAAGGAAAACGCAAACGTGGTCGACCCGGGCAAACTTGGCGGCGCACTGTAGCGGACGAGGCGAAGAAGATCGGCAAGACCTGGAGCGAGATCAAGCGAGAAGCTCAAGGCCGAACGAGATGGAGGACTGTTGTGGACGTCCTCTGCCCCATCTAGGGGACATAGGACCATAAGTCAAGTAAGTCAAACGTTAGCGAGATTTCAAGTATTCTTCAGATTTGTATGCTCTGTCACGTCATAATATGTCAATGTCATCCCTCCCTTTCTTCTCCCATACCTCAGGCACTGATTGAGTTAAGCGTAAGACCTATAAGATTTATACTTCAAGCGAGGACCCATTATGTTTGATTAGCTCACCTGTCATCTTGTAGTATCATGGTAATTGCGTTACTAAGTTTCTCTTCAGTGACAGTTTCAATGTCAACTATAACACCAATGCCATGGTGGAGATATTGCGCTGCGTTGTACTTTTGGTCCCCAAACATCGGCATTCCAACGAGAGGAACCCCTGCTGTGATGGCTTCATCAGTAGACTGGAGACCACATTGGGTTACAAACAATTTTATCTTGGGGTGTCCTGGAAATAAATAAAGAAAGAAAAGATGTTTATTTGGAACGAAATTTATTGTGAAATGAGGAGCAGGAAAACTATAGTAACTGACATAGGCCACAGAAACGCCAAAATTAAGTGCGGGGCATGCTCGTAGAGCTGATGGCCGCTGGGGCAGAAAAGTTCTCGAGTGGCGACTGTAGTATATTTTTTTTATATTTAATGTGTGAGGGTATCGGAATAATAAATCAGTGCTTTAACCAACTGGGGCGTGTTTTATTTCAGGGTGTCAGTGGGAAATGCGAGCCGGAAAATGTAGTGTGGGCAGGTCGCCGAAAGTACCTGAAAGCGGGCAACGCAGGACCGGTAGTTGTGGAAATCCTTGGGACCTTTGTCCAGCAGTGGACGTCATTTGGCTGAAACAAACGAACTAACGATGTGAAAAAAATCTACTACTGTAAGGTGTTAAGATAAAGCAACGACATATCGCACGGTGTAGGTGTCTTAGCGTTCAGAGATCGTGGGTTCAATTGCCACTTGAGGTAATACTTTTTCAAGTTCTATAATATTGTTCGATGGAAATGTGTAGTGTGTAATAACTTCTAATGCAAAAATACTTACTCAAAAGATCAGATTGTGGCAGCCATTTTGAAATCCTTATATTTTTAGTACGTCCAGGGACATCTCCATGATTCCACTTCCACAGAATATCGTATGGCAATTTCGAGAAGACGTTTACTAGGATTTTTATCCTTTCCTGAGGGAATTGAGTGGGATCGATTATGGAGCCAAAACTGACGTAAATAACGCCGTTTTTAGAAGAATCTAGGAATGTTTGAAGGTGCTGAAAGGTTTTGACAACATTTATCATTATTTTCATTTTATTAATAACTAAACTCACTCATAATTTAATTATAGTGATAACTCGGGATATATAAAATGTAGTAAATATTAGTGGTAGTTAATACTACCTTAGGTAGATCCTTTGCTGGTTTCTGATGCATACCACCAAGATGAACCACATTAGGAGGCACTGGTCGATTTGAATCCCACATGGGATGCACATTCAAGAACATCATATCCACATTCTTTCTTAGTTCATCCAATTTCGGCACTTCTGGACCAAATACATTCCTTAATACTTCATTAACATGATCATCAATGTCAGTTTCTATAGAAAATTTATATTCAATGACAAGTGCTTTCATCTTCTCCCACAATGTACGGTTATTTAAAGTTTCATGTATTATTGATGGATAAATCAACGGGTGAGCGGCAGCGCCATACATCTTGTATATAGCAGTAGTAACACCAACTGTACTGAATTGAATTACTGGTGCTTTGAAAACATGAGTCAATCCCAATAAGGCTTCCATGTACGCCTCAACAATAATCAAATCATACTTCTTTGATTTATCTTTTAAAATCTTATTAACAGCGTCTGATTTCATTTGCTTTTCTATAGTCGATGCTACATTTTTGAATATTGCAGTGATCTCGCTGTTTTCCATTTTGTTATCAAATTTATTTAGCAGTTTCTTCCAATCTGCGTATGATAGGTCGTGTACGTCTATTTCTGTTAAGTTTTCAGGTGCTTTACCCTTTGGAAATATAGGGTCTGTGGTTACAACGACCACTTCATGGCCTCGATTCACAAGTTCCAGAGTAAGTGGTCTGAAGACAATCTGGTGGCTTATGGACGGGGTAGGGTAGTACGCCAGAATCCTAGCTGCTTCAATGATAGAGTTCATATTTATAAAGCAAATTACACTGAATACAATTAATAAAAATCGAGACATAATACATTTGAAACACTGCTGCTAACACTGTTAAACTGACTGCTACTGCTGTCTCGCTACAAAAATATCCTTACAAAAGTTTATAGAGTTACTGAATCAGATAAGAAGGTACTTTAAAACGTTAAAACGATTCACAAGTCACGAACCTCCACTGATTTACGTAATTATACTAGCTAACACATAACTAATAAATCAATTTTTTCACACGTATTAACACAAATTAACTATCTGATAAAATTCAGATTAAAATGTGAAATGATACCAGAGAAACAAAAAACAATGACCAAATGAATTTGTTAAAATATTTGTCTTAACTTGTATTTGTCATTAATTTTCAATGTGCGCACTTATCTTTGGTAACGAGTTTAAGAGGTTACGTTACTTTTTCCATTTTCAGTTAACTTCCAAGAAAACTGAATGGTTTCACACGAATTTGGGAATCGAAATGTCTGTGTAGTTCTAGCTGATATAATTTAAGCTAACCTCAATAGACTTAAACTTGAAACTCAATAGCATATTCACGCAGACTCAAATGGTTTTGCATAATAAACGCGCTGGAATTGAATCCATTGGACGTTTGGTCAGCGGATCTGGAGTTCACCTGAATCAAGCAAGATTTGTGTTTGTGTTCCCAGTTTCGTGCCGCAGTCTTAATGCAGGCTTCACACTAAACCCGCCGACTCAGTGATATCTCGTTGAAATTGGGAAACTTTGTCAGCATGACAGTCCAAGGATTCTGAAACGCGAAGTTACAAAAATGAACTAGGAACCCATATTGATAGGGCTCTTCTGTAAATATCATAATTATATGAGACACTTCCGTGTTGTCCAACGTGGCAAAAATCGGAACCAATAATCAAGTATTCATAGTATCAATGTCAATATTCTAACTAAGACACTTCAGTCCTTCAGTGGTATCCAACCAACTATAGCAACTTTTTTACAGTTGCTATCAACGACAGTCACTATGACAACCGTTGACAAGACAGTATGGTTTTCTCGAGTGTCGTCATATCGCCGAAATGTTGTTAAAAGTAGGCAAGCTGAGCGACTCGAGCGGGTACAAAATACATGATTCATCTACCGATTTTATAAAGAGAAAAGATTAGAGTGTTTGTTTGTATTGAATAGGCTCCAAAAGTACTGGATTGATTTGATAATACTTCATTATTTCTGATGAACATAGGCGGTTGGGCGGTACTTTCGCCGGGGCAGCTAGTCTTACTAATATTATAAATGCGTAAATTTGTATGCATGTCTGGATGTTAACATGTTTGTTACTCTTTCACGCAAAATGTACTGAACGAATTTTGATGAAACTTTACAGTATTATTCTTTATACGAGTAACCCAGAATAACATATGTATAGGCTATAATTTATGACGATCTTCTGTGACAAACAAATTTTACGCGGGTAAAGCCGCGGGCACAAGCTAGTTTAAAATGATGCCGCCGGGCTTGGTGTGTAGTGTCCTTTACTCTGCTGTGACCACAAAGCGGTTCGCGGAAACATCGCACGATATTGTTTTAAAGTCGACAGTTCAGATAGTCGGAATTTGAACAGCAGTGGTCGGATTTTGAATCAGATACCTAGTAAGTAACGATTTTCAGAAATTTTCTTTGAAGAGGCATTACAGCTAGGTATGCAAGGTTTATAGGGCTATTTTGTAATATTTAGCCTTAGGTTTATAAACAACTGCTGAATTTTGGTAAGAAAAAACACATTAATGCTGTGCAAAAGCAAGAACTTAACAAGAAGTTAACACTATTTCAACTTCATTGTGAAGGTCCAAGCAATAAAGGCTTTTGTGGTAAGTGTGACTTTTTGTAGAAACAAAGTTACTGATCTGATTAACTAAAATTGGCCAACTTGCAATTAAACCGCGCCATCAACAATTCACATTCGTTCTAAAACAATCTCAAATTCAAACTCCAATCCAAAAGCGAACGAGCGCATAAGACTTCTCTGAAAGGGTTAAAAATGAAGCTGAAAATGAATTTCGTACCCGGTATCAGGTACAGCCGACAGCAGATCAGACTATGTATTTTTGATGCAAACTCAACCATATTACAGTGACATTACTGACCTCTGTTTTTAGCTTGATGTGCTGCCTGTACAAGTAATACAGTTCCATGCATATGCCTTCCATGTCCACTCAGTCGGGAGTTGGGATGAAAATCGGATACTCCGAGAGTACTTTATTTGGAAGGACCATATTTGCACTCGGAGTTACCCCTACCACCAGTTCCGATCTTCTTTTGTTTTGAATCGATTCAAATGATTCGAATCTTTTAGGTTCAGCCAAACCAGCGCGATTATACGCGATCAGCCGGCGTGCAGCGATGCAATGCATTGATCGCCATCGCTGCACGCCGGCTGATCGCGTGTGATCGCGTTGGTTTGGCTGAACCTTTAAAATGCATTGATCGCCATCGCTGCACGCCGGCTGATCGAGTGTTATCGCGCTCGTTTAGAATAGAATAGAATAGAATAGAATACCTTTATTCAGCATTAACATTTATGTGCATACATGTACAGAGGTTAAATATTACTGAGCCATGCTGAAAAGGCGCCCGCTCAGCGAAAATCGTGACATGACACACACAAGTCGTCAAGTCACGAAGCTGGTTTTCAGCGGGTACCAACATGGGGGTTATTACGCCAATTATGCGTCCTTTTGACAGTGACGAAGTTTATCAATAAAATTCGTGTCGGTTCGTAACACTTCCTGGCAAAAAGACGCGCAACAGAGGGCGCTGCTGTTAAAATAAAAAACAATTTATTTACATAAATCCCAACTATATATTATATATATTATATATATTATATATTATATATTTTTATATATATATATTTTTTATATATATATTATATATTTTATATATTATATTATAAATGCGAAAGTAACTCTGTCTGTCTGTCTGTCTGTCTGTCTGTCTGTCTGTCTGTCTGTCTGTTACGCTTTCCCGCTTAAACCTCGCAACCGATTTTGATGAAATTTGGCATAGAGATAGTTTGAGTCCCGGGAAAGAACATAGGATAGTTTTTATCCCGGTTTTTGAAACAGGGACGCGCGCGGTAAAGTTTTTCTGTGACAGACAAAATTCCACGCGGGCGAAGCCGCGGGCGGAAAGCTAGTACAAAATAAAATATAAAAAAAGGTAGACCTAAAATATTACATTTACAAAATATTTATAAAAATAAACTCCACAATTGTTCCAAGACGTACACTAAACAAAATAACGAGACTAGAACACAATCAGTTAACTGTATAATTATTAATTTAAAAAAATAAATAAAAAAAAACGGTATAACGTTTTCACTATAAAAATAACTTTAATACTATGTGATCTGTGAGGCGGCTTCGGACTGCTGACCTGTCGTTGTGTTGATTCGTTTGGCTGAACCTTTAATATTTAGATTGATGATTTCATATCCAGGTTTATACGATACCTTCATTAGTTAATTAAAATCTTTCTAGGTAGGTACGTATTATTATTTTCGTAAGTTCAACAGAAACAAAAAAGTTTCTTGTGCAAGGAACATGTTTTTTTGGCATTTTTAATACCCCGTGGACTTTTGAGTTTTTGTTTTTTCCTTGAAGCTTTTAAATTATGTTTTTGTTTGTTGTTATGGCGAAATTAGAAGAAACATTCTGTGAACATTTCAACTTTCTACGTAATGCGGTTCATGGGATATAGCCCGTTGAAAAACCGACAGTTCAGCAGGTATTATCATTAATTTGTGTTTTGATTATAAATAGGGATGTTTCCTGGGTCAAAAAGCAAGAGTTTTAATTAGTCCGTCAGTTAACTTATCAAAAAATACTCTACACGTATTTTTCACTTTTTCAAACTACGAAAATTTAAAGAGATAAAGCGCGCCAAAGATCATAAGAAGAGGCCCGTGACGTCAATGCGTGCATAAAAGTGCCGCACGTTGTGACGTCGTGCGGAACTTCAACGCACCATAACTATGTAATTATTTGTTAGATTGACAAATAAAAATATATATTATGTCCAATATTTTTTGATATTAAACATGAATGACTAAAAAAATTTTTTTAGGAAACTAGCCTATTCTAATCTATACTCAAAAGCTGCTACAGTTTTGGTTGTCCTTTGATAATCATCATCAACAGGTCATTTAGTCTCCACTGCAGGAGTACTACCCTCTCTAATTTACTAGAAGCAAATGGAGGATTTGGCATACATTCGCCACCCTGGCCAGACGGGTTGGGGAGGGTAGTAAATAGTAATTTGATAATAAAGAGACTATT